GACTTGTTGACTTTTTCCATTGATCTTGAGGGTCTGTACTTACGACTTGAAGCTGAGATGAATAGACGATCGATTTTCTGGAACAAAAGGCACAACAAAATGACTTCATATGATACGAATTATTGACCACAAACCTTAAAAGTGTTTACACTTACTGTATAACTTTTTCAGTCGAGTTCATGTCTCCTGATATGTCGTCAGGAGAGTTATTGTGTTGCTTCTGGAATGTTCTGACATTATTTATCTACCTTGAAAACACCAGATCTCGACTTGGGATAAACTGGCCCTGTAGTGGCATTCTCCTGTTGTCTCCAAGAAACAAATACATTTAAGCCATACTGTGTAACATTTTATCTATGTTAACAACTGAAAATCTGCAGGTTGTCTTTTTTCTTACTCAAGTTTTTTAGGGCCATTCAACGACTGTTTGACAACTTCTTTAGAGACCTGTTAAAACACGAGTCTACAAAGCCTCCTATATGTGAATGGGTGAATCAGCCTGTTATAGATCTAATGTACAATATTTCTGTTATGTAGTTAAACCATTTGTTATTTTTTGAATCATTGCTGAGTGTTGCTTTCGATTATATTCGACACTGCATCCTTTTTAAAGAGCTCTTGACATCAACTCCCTTGTTTCTACTTTTTGTTGTATTATCTCTTTGAACTTGAGCTGCATTTTACCAGTGTTGTGCAAATTGACGAATCAAAAGAACGCGTTATTGGAACGACGTTCATTTTTCAGTGAACTATTGAACTGAACGCACACTTTATCGTGTAAGATCAGAACTTTTGAACCGATGAATTTGTTCAGATCTTGTGTGGATGAAACACGTACGTCCATGGTTTGCGGGTCAGTTTAAACGTCGGAATTTGTTTGCTTCACCTTGACGAGTGACGATCTGCCTCGGCTTCACCTCGCGAAACCACAGCCGCGTGTCAACCGCCGGAAGGCGACCTCCACCGGCAGCTTTAGCGGAACGTACGGGCTCTTTGTGTCCCTCTCAATGCGGAAGTCAATCCCACAGACTCTCACTGGTGCGTTTAGCTGTGTATTTACCTCTGTATCCCAGAGGCCCTGCACCTACCCGGCCCAAAACGCAAAGACCTCTTCAAAGTAATCCTATATACAATGCACTACAATATAACAGTCCCTTGTTGGATCTGGGGCTCCTCCATAATGACATACAGAACTGCCCAGCAGCATACAACATCTGCTATTTAGGTAAAATACCAATACCAACCAATAGATCACCAAGACTCGTCTGTGCGCGAATTTTGACCGAGATTACGCCGCCTTCACAGCTCCTGAGAGCTGTCACAAAAAACCTAGGATGGGTCTTTTCTGAAAATCTACACGCACAGGATCGCTGAGCTGACTCCCGCGCGTCGATGATTATCATATTTAATTGGTACATATGTTAGTAAGCGCGTCACAATGCTTTTTTAACCCTGGATTGAAAGGTGGGCCTTATTCTCGATATTTTCTCATACGATTTAAACTAAAATCACCGCGATATCCTTAGCAAGCCGGTGAAACGGACCGAGAGGTGGCCCGGAGACTCCCGCGTATGATCCATGAGCCGAAACCAGGACCCGACGCAAAGTCCGGCTTCCACCTGATGCCAAATTACCCACGCAGCTGACGGCCCCCGATCGGCCAACTCGGGGTTCCTCTCAAGGGCGTCCCTAGAATTCAAGTTCTAGTCCCGGATCGTCCTGGTTTTGCGTCCCCTGGTTTAAGTCCTTGGTTTTAATGTCTCTGGCGTATCAGACTTCTGCGTTATAAACTTGGTTTTATAACCTTCTTCTAACCTCCAACCTACATCCTACAACCTCCAAGTAGTCCTGGTTCAGTTCCCTTGGTATCAATCAATCCTCGGTTTAGTCCTGGTTCATCTCGGCACTTCCCATTTCATAGGCTTCAGTTTCCATGCGCTTAATAGTCTTGTTATTCCTGCCTTTCACTAGACCTGGTTCAGTCAGCTCTCAGTTCTGGTATAGACCTGGCGCTTTAGTCCTGGAGTTATCAGACCCTTGTTCCAGTTACCTCGTTTTAGTCCTGGTGGGACCTGTTTAGTCCTGTGCCTTTAGACCCTGGTTCCTAGTTCTGTGGTTCTCAGTCACTGGTGAGAACCTGTTCAGTTCTTGGTTTGTCCTGGTTAAGTCCTGCGCTTCAGTTTGGAGTATTAGACCTGCGTATAAGTCCTGTTCATCTCCTGCTTCAGTTCCTTTGCGTCTTAAGTACTTGGTCCTCATCCTGGTTTAATCCTGTTCAGTGCGCCCAATCGCGTTTCACTCCATCTGGATATTAGACACCTCGTTTAGTCCTGGTTCTCGAATGAGTTTAGTCCTGCGTTTGGACTGGTTCTCAGCTTCTCGAGATCTTACGCCCTGGTTAGACCTTCTGGTTTTGACACAACCTGGTTTTAGTCCTGGTTCAAGTCCCATTTACGGCGCAAAAGTTTCAACATCTTAAACAGTTTCTTATGTGACGAGTAAATATAAAGTTGCTGCACCATAGCATATATGTTCTCTTCACCATTTTAAATACAATATAAATATTGTACAATCGTAACCCAATGTACTTAGAAATGACAACGATAACAGTCATAAATAACAATTACCCAGTTTTAAAGTCACTTTTTCCCCAACAGTCGTACATCCTTGAAAGTGTTGTAACACCCTTAGAGTCCAGTTGAATAATAACAAGCCTTTCATTATCACCAGATCTCATCTAAAATAATCCAATGAACTGACCCTTTAGACTCAGAATCCCTTTTCAATATTACAAAATTGTCAACTAAATGCTCGTGTAACTATTCCATCTCTCTGAGAAACAAGGTAACCTGAACTCTTGACCAGTTTCATGAAAAGCTGTCAATTATTGCAACAACCAACTGGCATACTACTATCTCTGTTTTTATCTAAACTGAGGAAACCTAAAGCATGTTCATGTTAAATAACACCACTTTCCAGAATGCGTACAAGCTTATCAACTTATATTTATTTAATCTAGATAATTTCCTGTAAATGTACGGACAAAAGTCTTTTTTAGTGATTTCTCAGACCCAACCTATATAACATTCTATCTGAGTCAGATTTCTGTTGACACTATGAAATATATTCAACCTGATCGACTATTATTACTCTGATGCCTACAATAACAGTAATACAGTGATTCTCTTGAAAGTTTCTTGTCCCGTCTCACAGTAACAACTTTCTGCAAATTTGAGAAACAATATATGCTTTTGACACAAATGATTAAATGCGTCCTCTAGTACCCCTTCTGTAACTCAAGAATTTACCAACTAGAGAAACAACCATTCATTCTTCCACTAGTTACATTGTGGGCTTTGACGCGTAGAATTTTTATTTCAAATCATTCGTCAAAACATATTGATCAAAACACATTTGACATTTTACTGAACCCCTTAAAGCAGCCAGTTACCGTTTCTGTCAACCAAGGGTTCCTTTAGCTGTTTCACATCTTCTTTTCCACTACAGAAGTTATTTACTTCTGTTAAATCCTGCAGTTATGTCCAAAAGTGTGAGGAAATTGCAATCAATACATAGTTGGACCATTGATATCTGCTATTAACACATCTATTATGAACAGGGAGTGAGAGTGGACATAATCCACACCATAGACTCCTGCAGTGACAGAAATGTTGTAATTTGATCAAGCAGCCGGATACCTTAAAAATTAATTCCAGGAGACTTTTGTCCATTCTGCATACGTTACACTATGACATCATAACAGCCGTCATCAGACAAACCTTAGAGTCCCTACATCATCTATGGGCCCGCCTCAAAGCAGAAAGTATACAGCAGGCCAAAAAATTTCAAGTTATATACATCATCTGATATATAAAAAATGTATTCAACCAGATCCACACATGTACTTAGTTTTCCATGAAAACTGTTTACATTTTTTCTGTACCCACTTTTTTGATTCTACAAGTTATCATACCGATATTTTAAACAGACCACTGTCATGAATAGCCATGCGAACAAACACATATCATTTCCCCAACATTATCAAAGACCCTCGCAAATCATGTAATAATTAGTATTTCACATATTTGCTGCATATTTGATCTTTGAACTGTTGACTCGAAGGTACATGATTTAACAAAAAATAAAAATAATTTTAATGATAAAAGATTTGCCCTTGGAGGCGACTGAACATATTTCATAGAATATTACCTTCATTTATTGCAAGTAAATATTAAAGTATCGAAGAAAAGCTGACAACATTATGCCAAATGCACATTCTTACTATTCTCCCCATCTGTTTCCCACTGACCTTTCTTAAATAACAAACCATACATTACTCCATAAAATTAAGCGGTTTTTTACCACACCTAATCTTGTTACCCCATATGATAGAGACAACATACCCTATAATAAGCAAATATTCAAACCAGTTTGTTAGGATATGTAAGTGAGAACGCTATTATCGCTGTTGGATTTATTTGCCCCAAAAATTGCTGCATAATTTCATTCCCTCCGTTCCACATGAGTTCTTTTATTTATCTCCAACAACTTGAATAAGAATAATATAGCAAGGTTTACTTTACACCTCCTGTTGGAAGTGCTAACTCATTTCCACTTTCTAATACACTTACTATCTTTCATACAGTCACTTAGTAATGAATAAGAGCTATTGAATGTAACAAAAACTGCCCTGTTTCCTTCCCATTACCACTTGACGGACTCCTATTCAACATCTGTGAACTTCCCTGTGTGTTCCAACATTCAGACTATAGCCGACAATCCAACAGCTATTTGAGGCTGCAGTGGCTCAGTTCATTACTAATGTATTTGCACTGGCACTCAAATCTATTTTCAACCATTATTTAATGTGTGCCCTTATTTCTTATTTTATTTGATCATAGGTTATATTATGTAGTTTTTACTAAAGCTTCACAAGTTTTTAGTTCTACTTGAGAAAACCAGTGCAGTAGTTTTTGGTGTGGAGTCTGGAATCGGAGAGAATGAGGCCCAACGCCCTCAACATCTCCAGTCCACGTAAGTTTGGATAGGTAAGTATAGCTGTAGAGGTTGAGCCTTTTTAAAGTATTTTATGTGTTGACATGTGTTGAAACTCTACACAGGTAGAACTATTCTTATGAGTCCAGTGAGAGCAGTGACTAGCAGTGGACAAGTCTGTGTCTCTCAGCTGTAAACTCAAGAAAGCGCACTTTCTAATTTGCAGTCCCATTATTTTATAAAAAATTGTGAAATAAATAGTTAAACATGGAACTGGAACAGAGCTCAACATCACTGCGTGTCCAGGTCTGATTGAAGGCTTTTACTAAATGTGAGAGAACAACAATGGAAACAATAGGCGAATTGTCAAAACCAAACACTGTCATTATCTCCAGAGAGTTGGATGTCGATTTAAAGTCAGTGAACTCTTCTTTAAATACAAAATAAAGATATTTTTATCTTATGAACACAGGTGCACAAAGGTGAGCTCTATTTCTATTCTTTCTTTTACTGTGAAATGTGGATGGTTGGGCCTTTGTGTGCAGTGGTTTTTACTCTTGATATCTGCGCTTTGTGTCATTTTTAAAGAGAAAAGGTTGGATTTGTGACTCTATTAACTGTGTGTGTCTATGTGCACACTCTTTTACATTTATTACTGGTTTGCTTCACTGGTTATTCACAAATGTTTCTTTTTCTGTTAACACTGTGACTCTTGAGCGGATTGGCGTTGTTTGAATTAAGACTTGTTTCTGTTCTCTGCAAAATATTCATTAGGATTATTTAATGTGTGTAACTGTTGAAAATTTGTGCAGGACTCAAAGAAACCAACAGAGCCTTCTACGTGAGCGTAGAAGATCAGTGACAGCAAATACATGACCAACACTCGCCCATCAAGTAGAGTAATACCTTATAAGTAACAGAGTGAACTCAGGTTATGGGTTGTTTTTGTTTTTTTCTTACCACCTGTGTTTCGTACCAAAAAAAAAAAAAAAAAAAAAAAAAAAAAAAAAAAAAAAAGGGAGCCAAACAAACAAAAACAAAATAGAAAACTCTATGACAACCTGAATATACTGATGTATACTATAATATTCTTTGACCCAGATTCACACCAGCGCACCAAAGTGTACTACACCTACCGAGTGGCCGAGTAGGAAAATTAATGCAAAAAAGAGATAGACAATAGATGTGGCAAAGAAAATACCAAAAGATGAAATAGCTATTTCTAAAATGTATTTTGCTTTCAATAAAAGTTTACTCTAAAGTCGCAAGTGAGCGCTTCGACGACCATGTTACCCATGTGTTTTGCTATTTTGATAGGTTTCAATTAGAAAAAGGGTAATTAGTGGTTAAAGTAAAGTTTAAGTAATAAAGAGAATAAATTGTAAAAATGCATTATTTTTCCTTCAGTCATTCTGCACTTTAATGTACTGTTGCATGAAAGAAAACACTCATGCCATATTTAATGATCAGATCTAATTGAATTGGTTTATAATTATGATCTTTATATTGTTATCAGTCTAGTTTAATGCGCAGATGTAAGAGGCACCATGAACGTGTGGCAGTGTGACCAGATTTGCATACAAACATGCGTACGATGATAAATTAGCACTCACATCAGTTATTCTGATGTATAACACTTGAATCATTCAACTCAAAGTTTTTCTATTTTATGAGATATTACTTCAAAATTGCTTAATGTCCCACCTACTAACACATACTAAAGTAAAAAGCGACGCATGTTGTATTTCCATATCCCATAAATCAATTGGTTCTTTACAGAATGCCAATTTATGTCCCTACATTTTAACATGAAACTAACCTATTGGGAATGAGAGGTGAGTATTGTATCAGCCTATTCTGTATTTATCATTCTATTTTTTTACTGAATAAATTTCTTGATTTTTAAAAAAATATCCATGTTCAGAGGAACCAACCCCCCACAAGACGACTGAAGTCTGTTGTTATTCTAATATTCGTCCACACTCTTCAGGTAAACAAGCTCTTAAAGCTCTTTGCTTCTGTATTATGAAAAAGACCTGGTTAGTACTTGATGAGAATAAACATGGGAAATCAGGCCACATTCCACAGTGGGGGACCAACTTATGAAACAATTTAGTTGGTCCTTGAAGGCACGGACCACATTTCAAGACACCAATCGACTCCTTTAAGTAGGAACATATCCAGTAGTGTGTGATCGAGTCGTGTGTGTGTTGAGGAAGTCCAGTGGTGTGATTGATAAGGAGTGATGGTGGTTGGAGGTCGAAATGACGCAGATTAGCAGCCCTTCTTCAGCTTGCCGGGGGCTCCGTTGATACTGACCTTTACCAATAAGTATGTGTTTACACAACAAATAGGTATGGCGTGCTCTCAAAAACACACCTGGAGTTGTGTTTTGTTTCATTCACACATGTTTGAGCAACACTTTATTATTAGTCTGTCTACATCTCCAAAGCTCCAAATGCTCTGTTCCACCTTGTGATGTCATGTAGTGGTAGTTTTCAAGTGAACAGCTTCTTTTACCTTTAGTTCAGTAGAGATTGGCAACTTCCATCATTATCCAAATGATTCTAGTAAAGATATGTGGAGTTTACACAGTGGGGAACTTCCTGTATTCAAATGAAACAGAAAACACACACTGAGGAGCATAACTGCTTAACTTTTGGAAGAAAAGTTCAGAAGTACAGAAATTGTCTGCCAGCCCTGGTGCTCAGATCCCCCCCAAGACCAGATACGATGAAGATACGATATGATGATATTTTGTTATTGTTACATCTCTAGCAGAGACGTCTGGGTTTGTTTCATTGGCTGACTGTGATTCCCATGTGCTTTTTATAGGTTCATTTACATTTACACTGGAAGAGACTGGTCCAACTGGTGAGTCCAAGATCACAAAGTCCACACTAGCACCTGTCACAACTCACATCATATTTAAGTCATTTGAAGAATACAGAAAATCTGCTTTACAGAAGAGCAGAGGTGTGTGCTAGATTGACTTGACTTTTAAAGAAATTGTACTTTATAGAGAACTTTTCTAGCAGCACACTTACTCTTACTTGAGGAACATTTTTATTTAAGTACTAGTACTATTGTACAGTGTAACAGTACTCTTACTTTAGTAATATAGTGTACAGTGTAACAGTACTTGTTACTTGTACTTGTTAATCTGAAATGATTTGAACATTTGTGTTTCTTGCAGCTCCCATTAATCGGTAAGTGGAGTCTTAGTCATAAGTATTTATAGTGCAGCAGATTAATTGCATATTTCAAGAGAATCGTTCACTTTGGTATAAAAGCATGACATTTGGCACAGACATTCTCTAAGGGTCATGTTTTGGGAAAAAGGCGTTGGCCATTCAAAAATTCAAAATGGCAGTCATTTTCATTTTTCAAGATGGTCACTATTTCTGTCAAATGTTCATTATGTCGAGCGTTCAAACTGTGATGTAGGCATAGCATTTTGTGAAAATACTCTGTTGAGAATGTTTTTTTGGAGAATGGTGCTTGTCCCTCAAAAAATCAAGATGACAAACATTTGATGGTTGAGATGCCATCAGCATTTTTCCTTTTTTTTTTTCTTCCTCTAAACGCAGTAACAGGTAGGGCATCTGGTATAAAGTCCTCTAGTGCCACATCACTCTGTAGAAATACCATAACTGTTTCAATAGGAAGTTCATTTTGAAAAATGTGTTTAAAATCATTTTAGTTGAGTTACTTACTTTGTTCATCTGTGCTCTGTGGTTTGTTGGTTCTCAAACATCTTCCTTTTTTCTGAAACATCAGCTGTAACATTCATGAACTTCCCCACAGCTGCAGCAGAGCTCTGGATATCACTCTTTGTTTGTAGACGACTCTGGAACAAACACATTCAAATCTGAGTACAACTGTCACACTCTTGTAGATGGACAGTCAAATACAATTTGTCTCATGGAAACAGTCCTTGACATTAACTCTAATTTCAAGTAAAACACCACAAACATGTTTTTAACAATGAGGACATTCTAGTGCAGAGAAGCACATAACATCTTTGAAAAGTCTCACCTCCAGATCAGTTCTCATAATCCTCCTGCTCCACACTGTGTTTCCTCTGCTCCTGGAACTGTCCTGTGTCCTGTTACATTAGAATTTTCCCTCCAAAAGTTTTGGGGAGGAGAATTCCAGAGGGAGGAGCCTCACCACAGATTAGAATAAAGTCATGTTTTCTCAGTCTGATTAAAACATGCAGGTCTCACATCGGCCACAATCAAGTGACCTTTGTAAGATTTAAACATGCTGGACAGAGAAACGTTAAAAAGTCATGTTATTGTTGTCAAATTTGTTTTTGCAATTGGAGCAACCCCTCTCAGACCATTTTTTCAGTATAAGTTTTTTATTTATTTCATTCTTTTCACAGACATTTGTCACACAGACACTTTACAGAGCATTATTCACTCCAGATGCGGTGGTGATAATAACCTGCTATTCTAGCCACAGCTGCTCTGGGGCAGAATGACAGAAGTGTGGCTGCCATGCCAATCGGCGCCATCGGCCCCTTGACCACCACCATCACTCACATGTACCTTTCATACTAGGCAATGTGGGTGAAGTGTCTTGCCTAAGGACACAACATAAACAGTTTTTTACAGCTGGTGCCCCCCTGTGGCACCTGATTTTCCCAGTGTCTCCCATTCAAGTCCTAACCAGGCCCGGAGCTGCTGAGCTTCTGAGATCTGATGACATCAGGTTTGGACAAGCCAGTGTGGCCACAAATAGAAAAGTCTTGAAAAATGGCCGCCATATTGAATTTTTGAGTGGCCAATGCCTTTTTCCTAAATAGCGGCCCTTAGAGAGTATCTGTGCCAAATTTCATGCTTTTTATACCAAGTGAACGTTTTTTTCACTAATCTCCTGCACTAATATTTGAGAAGTGAGTGAGCTGGAGATTTGGTATTTTTTGGTATTCCTCTGTAAAAAGGCAGATTAAACTCACAAGTTGCATCTGTCTTTATATAAATACATAGTTTTCTAGTTCTTCTTTTGTGCATAAATAGTTTTTGCATGAGCGCCCCCTGCAGATGTAGTCTGGTGAGTGCAGTTTGGGTCAGATACACAGATACAGAAGAGTTTCCAGAGCTTTTGCCACACCCCTTTTAGTCGACCAACTGACTGACAGCACAGGTCTTTATTCCTGCAAGAATTTCTTTACTCGCCTAAAGTTGTAATATTTTCCTGTGTTTTTGAGGACGCATAACCATTTCCTTGTTTCCTAAGGTTGCTGAGGGAGCAGGTGCTCTGCTCTGCGGTGGACTCCAAAACACCAGAACTTTACAACCGCTGCAAAGTAGAAGAGCTTCTGATGAGTCCTGGGTAATGTAGCCTTCTGTAATTGAATGATAATATCAGATACACTTCACAGCGAGCGAGACAGACTAACTGAAAAACTGTGGCCTAATGCTGGCTCTTTTGTGACTGTAATGTTGTTGTTTAACAGCACAAATCAACTCACCTGTTGTAGTTCAGAGAAGTCATATCTTTATGATCAGATTGTGTTCAAATACAAATTACCCATTTCATACCAAACGAAACTCCAGAGTGGAGTGAGACTTAAACCAGACTTTTCTGTTGTGTTCACCTGGCTCCTCCTGGAGGCTGCTGTGATGTTGCAGGTGTCCTCCTGTTAAACTGCACTGACACCTGTGACTGAGACACAAAGGTGACACTGTGGACATGTGTAACAGTGGTGGTACAAACAGGACTAAATGAATAAGCAATTGAAGAGTTCTCAGACATGTGTGAAATAGAGCAGTCAGTCAGTGAGAAGATAACTACTACAACACGGTTAAAAGCTCTAAAAAGTCAATAGGGCAGAATAGGTCTGATTGAAGGAAAATAATGTTTTGTCTTATGTTTCCATTCTTTTCAGGTTGAAATATGCCCAGCCGAGCACACTGATCGGGTATGTTTGCTCCACGGACACGACAAGGATATATTTTGTATAGTTAATTTTCACATTCTAAAATTAGATAATGTCATCATTTCAGATGGAGCAGGCCCTATAGAACTTTATGGGAGATTTACTGTTTCTAAAGAAAGCTCCAAACAAATGTTTCTCCTTCTCGTTCTTTGTTTGGGATCGGCTCCACAAAACTTGTCATATGAATCTTATGTCTTAAAGTCCTTTTAGCTCAAACACTCACGTCTTGACGGTTGAATAATGACTCCACTTTCTGAAGCAATTGTCAAAAAACATTTGTCTTTAGTTTATTTCTCCTGACAGAGAAGATGCTGAACTTTGTGCCAGTTTTTGTTTCATGTGGATCGGTCTAGAAACTACAGAAATATGAACCATAAACCAGATCAAGACCTCTGTGATCTGACAGTTACAGAGCAAACTCCAACTGAGACTCTGACCAGTCTGAGCTCAGGTTCTGCTACTCTAGGGCTCTAGTACAGATATGTAGTGATTCTCACAGTAATAACCTGTCACTCTGTCGCCCCCTGCAGACGCACTGATGTAAACTCAGTGACAAACTGGAACGCACCGCTGGTCTGGGAGGGGACCTTTGACCCCGTGGTCATGGACGTCATCTATAAACGAGAAAATCCGAGGATCGCTGTGCTGGTTTTAGCTGTTGGCAAGTAAGTTCATAATAAAACTAGAGGAATCATCGCCATGGTAACCTACGTGTTGACATCTGCAGTACACACAAAGTACAATACAGACATGACATACGTACAGTGTGGAGCTAAAACAGAGTGTAAACTCATATTAAGACTTAGCATTAAAATGTAGGTTTAAAAGGCAGTTAAGGTGCAACAGTAGATCTGAAAGTGGATACTCCTGACCCGCAAGTTTGCACTGATACATTATGTGGCCTGGATAGAACGTGAGTAGAGCAAGAGCAAAATTCCGATGGAAAATAAAATAAAAACAGTGCCAGAAAAGTCATGGTGAAAGTGTTTAAATGGACATATAAAAGTGCATAGGTCCATGTAATAATGCACAGCTCCACCTGTTTCTGTCAGGACTTTTACTCTGAATACATGTGTTTTTCATCCTAAAAACACTGCACTGGTCTAGTACATGTATCTTACACAGAACTCGACTGACCACGTGGACACAATTACTGATCAGTATTCTGTTTACTTCAGGCCTATTACTATAAAAGAAGAGTTTATTACCTAAAAAGGAAACAAAATCTCAACATTTGAAAATGAGTTTGATAGAACGTGAGTTTAATAGAACATGAGTTTGATAGAACGTGAGTTTAATAGAACATGAGTTTGATTGATAGAACGTGAGTTTAATAGAACATGAGTTTGATAGAACGTGAGTTTAATAGAACACGAGTTTGATAGAACGTGAGTTTAATAGAACACGAGTTTGATAGAACGTGAGTTTAATAGAACACGAGTTTGATAGAACGTGAGTTTAATAGAACATGAGTTTGATAGAACGTGAGTTTAATAGAACATGAGTTTGATAGAACGTGAGTTTAATAGAACATGAGTTTGATAGAACGTGAGTTTAATAGAACATGAGTTTGATAGAACGTGAGTTTAATAGAACACGAGTTTGATAGAACGTGAGTTTTGTAGACCATGAGTTTGTCAGCATGTGAGTTTGGTAGAACCTGAGTCTGGTAGAACGTGAGTTTGTTAGAACATTAGTTAGATAGAACTTGAGTTTGGTAGAACGTGAGTTTGGTAGAACGTGAGTTTGGTAGAACGTGAGATTGGTAGAACGTGAGTTTGGGAGAATGTGAGTTTGGTAGAACATGAGTTTGGTAGAACATGAGTTTGGTAGAACTTGAGTTTGGTAGAACGTCAGTTTGGTAGAACATGAGTTTGGTAGACCGTGAGTTTGGTAGAACGTGAGTTTGGTAGAACGTGAGGTTGATAGAACGTGAGTTTGGTAGAACGTGAGGTTGGTAGAATGTCACTTTGGGAGAACAGTAGTTTATTAAAATGTGAGATTGGTAGAACATGAGTTTGGGAGAACTTGAGTTTGGGAGAACTTGAGTTTGGTAGAACGTGAGTTTGTTAGAACATGAGTTTGGTAGAACTTGAGTTTGGGAGAACTTGAGTTTGGGAGAACTTGAGTTTGGTAGAATGTCACTTTGGGAGAACAGTAGTTTATTAAAATGTGAGTTTGGTAGAACATGAGTTTGGTAGAACGTGAGTTAGATAGAACATGATAGAACGTGAGTTTGATTAGAACATGAGATTGTTAGAACATGAGAGAATGTGAGTTTAGAACATGAGTTTGTTAGAACATGAGTTTGGTAGAACATGAGTTTGGTAGAGCATTAGTTAGATAGAACATGAGGCTGGTAGACGTGAGTTTGGTAGAACATGACTTTGGTAGAACGTGATTTTGGGAGAATGTCACTTTGGTAGAATGTCACTTTGGGAGAACAGTAGTTTATTAAAATGTGAGGTTGGGAGAACATGACTTTGGTAGAACGTGAGGTTGGTAGAACGTGAGTTTGGCAGAACATGAGTTTGGCAGAACATGAGTTTGATAGAACATGAGTTTGGTAGAACATGAGTTTGGTAGAATGTGACTTTGGTAGAACATGAGTTTGATAGAACATGAGTTTGGTAGAATGTGAGTTTGGTAGAACATGAGTTTGATAGAACATGAGTTTGGTAGAATGTGAGTTTGGGAGAAGGTCACTTTGGGAGAACAGTAGTTTATTAAAATGTGAGGTTGAGGTGAATTTGGTAGAACATGAGTTTGATAGAACGTGAGGTTGGTAGAATGTGACTTTGGAAGAACAGTAGTTTATTAAAATGTGAGGTTTGGAGAACGTGAGTTTGGTAGAACAGGAGTTTGGTAGAACGTGATTTTGGGAGAATGTCACTTTGGGAGAACAGTAGTTTATTAAAATGAGAGTTTGGTAGAACGTGAGTTTGGGAGAACATGGGCATTAGATAAACATACACAATTATAAGGAAAAATCCGGCGTCCAGCGAACACGTTTCCAACACGTATCATCATCGATCACACTAGGGAATTCCATAAATTCTGCCTAGAAACACGTATTTTACACGAGGCCCAAACTCTTCTACGGTACACAGATATTATTACTTGACAAACAAAAATATAAGAAAACACCTTTATTTAGTTGAAATCATGTTTAAATCAGGAAAAAAATGTATTGCTGGTGTAGAACCTTTGGATAGAAATCTCTCTATAGTTATAACTCTAATATAGATTTTTTTTTTTCTTTCTGCTTTCTGTCATTTTCAACATATTTTTTTCAATATTTCTTTGCAAATTTGCTTCTTGATTTGTGTAAAAATCGCTTATTTTCACAGTGGTGGTGGGGGGGGGGTCTATGACGTATAAGGATTTTCAACAAGCAAATTTTAAAATATTAAAAATTTAGTTTCTATTGAACTTTTTCAAATATTTACAATGTCAGGTCTGCATAAATCTATGTTTAACATTTATATTAAGCATTTTTAGTGTTGTTTTTATGTAAATGTATTGGCTATGACCTTAAACAATGTCATGTGGGACTACAAAACACTTCAGAAAATATGCCAAAAAAGAAAGAAAATCTATTTGATTACATTTAGAATCATTTTGAAGAAGTTTAAACATCAGCAGTTAAGTGTGGACGGTCACACCTCATGACATTTGAACACTTTAAGTACAAAAAACTCTCAGAATAACTAATGATTTCTGAAAAAATGATTTGGTTCCATGGAGATCAGTGGTACTACAGATATGTGGTGAATTATTATGAAATTCGAACCAAGAAATTGCAATTGGACAGAAGATTTTGGCGTCATTTACCCGGGTTCTATCCCGCCAACATAGAAGTAGAGAATCACCAAAACCTGTCACATGCACTTTAACCTGTAGTAACCAGCATCCAGTTCTATAACTCCAGCTCAGACTCACACACAATCATCTCTTCAATACTTCTGCTCACAACACAGACCAGTGCAGGGCTTTGGGGTTTATTCTATTTCATATTTCAGAGGAAAATGTCCTTTACATTTGAACAGGTACACTCAGTTTTTGAAAGGATTTCTGGAGACGGGAGAGAAGTATTTCTTTGTTGGATTCAGAGTGACGTACTACATCTTTACGGACAAGAAAGAAAACGTTCCGAAGGTAAGTTGCGATACAACCAACCCATCAAAGTCACATAAATCAGATGTGAAGTAACAGACTACTACAGTTGACCTCTATGATTCCTGTCATATTCCAAAGAATTAAATATCACGCTGTTTTCTGATCTGTGTTATACGCTGCAAAAACTCAAATCCAGCCAAGTTATGATTACTTGAATTAAGAAAGTTTGATTCTGATTTGAGTAAATTTCACTTGAGAAGTAAAATTTGAACAAAACTTTTTGTACTTAAAACAGAGCTGTCAGACTCAGGCCCGGGGGCAATATTTGGCCCTCGAGATCATATCAAATCTGTATTAGAGCTGCCCACCGGCTACAGATAGACTATAGAGACATTATTTATTTAAAATGGTGTTATTATTTTATATTCTGCTTGTTCTGGATTCAAAGTTTTAGCAAAAACTATTATTAAACATTTATTTTAATAAGAAAAGATTTACAATAAATATTTAGTTTGGCCCATGACTTAGTCCCAGTTTTTCATTTTGGCTTCTGTGAATTTGAGTTTGACACCCCTGACTTAAAATATGAAAATAAAATATATGAAAAAGATAAAATCTTGCTACACTTAAGATAAGAAAACCACAACTCTTTGCACTTAAAATAAGAAACAAAATCCATTGGTAGATCATTTTACTTTACTTGTCAAGCTGAATCTACTCATTTTAACTGACTTAGATATGAGTTTTTGTGGTGTAATGTTGCTTCCTCATCACAAACAGACCTGGAGGTGTGTGTGTGTTGTTTTTTTTATACATGTTTAAGACACAAACCCTGAAGATTTAAGCTGAGTTCTTCTCTCAAACTGAAAACACTCTCTTCCACCTTATGATGTCATGTGGTAATACAGGAAGTGCTCCACTGTGTTTTTAAACTCCATACATCTTCATTAGAATCATTGCGATGATTTAGATTCTAACATGGCTAAAAGCTCACAGGAGTCTATTTTGTTTAATATAGGACCTTTAATGCAGAAAAGTTCATTCTGTCTGCAATAAAATGGAGCAAAAGGCCAAGCCCTGTGATGTAGCTCCCCTGGTTTTTGTGTCCGTTGCTGAAGAAGAAGTTTGTACAAGTCGATATATATTGAGCAGCCCACAATCCTGTGAGAGACAGTGACAGTTGACACTGCCACATCACAATATTTCAGTCAAGTTTTTACACCCCAAGTACAAATGTAGACCTGTTCATATCCTGTCTGTGTTCCACTCTTCTCCAACAAGCCACAGTCCATCAAATTAAATAAATCTTTATTGTCATAAAGCTGTGCATACAACTGTAGTGCTGGCAAGATGAAATTACATTTCTCTAGGTAACAGTCAATAAAAGAACTTAATTTAAACACTCACGACCTCCCCGCCTCCCCCTGCCCCAACATCCATTCACCCATCCCTAAGGGTGTTTTCACACCGACAGTATTTGGTGCGCACCAAACGGTCCATTCAAACCAAAAGTGGTTAGTTCGATTCGTTTGCGTTGGTGTGAAAGCGTCAATCGGACTCGGACCCGAACCAAATCAAGCGGACCGAGACCTCAAAAAAGAGGTGGTCTCGGTTCGCTTGAATCTGCACCAAATGACCAACTTTGGTGCGGTTCCTCTGGTGTGAACGCGAACTCTGGTCCAAACCAGAAACAGTAGGTCCAAACGGACTATTCGAAATGCATCATGGGAGGGGATACGCATCTGCTCTGCCTGAAATGACGCAATATACGCCTTCGGCAACTCCAGCGCAGTAACAGATTGTTGTCCAGACGCAGCCGTGATTCATTTCTGAATTATTTTACCAACCATGGCCAATACAGAAAATGTAATACACGATGATCAGAGTAAGAACCAATGTGCGAACGTGTGGCTCCAGAGTGAGTCAAAATTATGAGTGCGTACCCCTGTTCAGGACCTGCACACACAGAGAGATCCCGGTGTTCCCCGTGATCATGTAGCAACCAGCATTTGTTATTTTAGACCATTAATTAACCAAATAATTTCATGGCAATAGGCAATAGCCTATTCAATTGATGTTGTACTGTTTTTAGGCTAGTGTGAGAAATACAGTCAGACAAGATCCAAACCAGAGTCCTGACCCAGCAGTAGCAGTTCCGGTTCAGGCCGGGCTCAGAGGAGCTGGAGCGGAGAGTGATGTCAGGAGCCTCGGCCTGAGTAGCGCTTTCCCCGGGAAGAACCAAAATGCGAGGAGCACGGACGCTCAGAACGACATATAACCAACCAAACTGGATTCATGCTTCTGTCCGGATGCTTTGCACCACCTCGGAACCAGCGGCGTTTCTTGAGCGTGGAGGACCGGAGCAGCCCGCACAGACCTGTAGGTAGTACCCAGCGCATTCTCACTTTCCCCGCATGGAACCAGCGCGCAGACGACAGAACGTACCCGCTCAGACCCAGTCCATTGTGCACTGGTCTTGCTCGCCACCATTTGGAACCAGCACATGGAGGACAGAGCCTCCGGACCATCTGACCAACACGCCTGTAGGACGACAGAAGACCAAGGACCAGACCCGAGCCACGTCCGGAGGAGCTGCGCACTACTGTGAGCGCTGTTGGCTGAGAGTAATGAAGTTGGCTCAACATTTGACGTTCGCTTGATATTCGGGGTTTAACTTTCCCACAATAAGACCCAAACATGCATTTTGCCTAAATAACTTGACCTAGGTTAAACAAAGTGCAACCTGATAATGTCTATATAACAAAACAACAGCATAAATACTACCTATCGATTTATAGGCAAAAAATCTACTCAGGCTGCTCCAACCTTTGTTCTGTGGTTAACGTCTATGTTAGGGACCATCAACAAATAGTCACCACATTGTTGGAGGGAGTCACTTTGACATTAGTGGAGCCGGGGTACACAATAACTACTTGAACAAAAAATTCACCAAAAATCAACCAAAACACTTTTTCCAAATCTGTGGGGCGTAGTAGTTCCCAAATAAATGTGTTTATTTACTACAGGTCACAAGTTGCCCTGAAATCATGATGACAAAAATTTCCTTCAAAAATTTCTCTTAAAATCAACAACATGACTATTTTCACTTCTGATGGGTGTAGTAGTTGCCCATCTATTTTACAGGTCACATTTTACACCAAAGTCACATAACATCTTTCAGTGTTGTCTGCTGCAACCAATGTGACCTGTACCACCAGTAACAAATATTCCCAGATTTGTCACCATTGCATGTATTGTTTATATGGAGTTTGTTGTCAGATTCTACTATTCAACAATTGTTATGGGATTTTGGTGCTATGGCAATGATCAACCTGTAGACAGTAACAACCACACCTTGATAGCAGTCAGAGTTTTTTTTTTTGGTGCTGCATTGGTATTATACCTGATAAAGCAGTACCTGATATATAGTCTTTCACTCATGTTACATAACAAGGAAGAAATATGTGATAACAACACAAATGCAAGGAAAATCAACAAAACATTCATAATTTCCATAGCTTTAATACTTTTAAATTTCACCCATATAAACAGAACAGGGAACAAAAAATAACAGAAAATTTATTCATAAAAAGGCCAATAAATAAAAATAAACAGATAAATAACACAAAGAACACAACTCAGTTATTATACATATATATATATATATATGTATACATATATATATATATATATGTATATACATATATATATATACACATATATACACACATATATATATATACATATAATTTGATAAAATTTTAGCTCTTGAAAGTAGAATAAATACCTATGCTATGGATAATTATACCTCCATTCTGACTTTTATTTGATAAGTCTTTGGATTAGTGGCATAAAAAAAAAATATATATATGTGTGTATGTATATATATATATATATATATATATATATATATATATATATATATATATATATATGTATATATATAGTGTGTGTGTATACATATATATATATACATACACACACACACACACACATATATATATATATACACACATATATATATATATATATATATATATATATATATACACACATATATATATATATATATACATATATATATATATACACACACATATATATATATATATATATATATATATATATATATATATATATATATATATATATTTTTTTTTTTTTTTTTTATGCCACTAATCCAAAGAATTATCAAATAAAAGTCAGAATGGAGGTATAATTATCCATAGCAAAGGTATTTATTCTACTTTCAAGAGCTAAAATTTTATCAAATTATATTAAAAAATGGAAAAAAGAATTCTACTCACTATCCAAAAGAAAAAGTACTCACGATAAATACTGAAATCCAAAATATATTATTATAGCTTTTATATATTGAACGATAAATCAATATTGTTATCATCATGGCAGGCCTAGACACAGGTAGGTGACGGATCCTCCTAAAGAAAAGCCTTGCAGTCTCTCCTTTTGTCCTCCCAGGCATCAGTGCTTCCCCTCCTGCAGCAGCAAGGCCAGCAACAGCATATTTGTCCTTTTCTTCATATGCAGAGTTCACACATCCATGCAGAGATGCGAGAAATGTCCTCTGTGTCCATCGACAAACAGGCTGTGTGAAACCATCTCTCACACCTTTCACACTGGATCTGTACATGAATGACATGAGATTTTCACAGAAATGCTGTTAACAAAACAATATTAGAAAATGCCTCACCTCCATCACAAATAACCCGCAACTCGTGCCATCCTGCTGAGCAGGGTGAAGGATGGTGGCAGCTTTCCACACTTGGCTTAACCAGTCTTTCTGCCCACGCAAGTTAAACCTTGTTTTAAAGTACTTGCTGAAAACACAGAGACATAAGGACACAAAGTATTAAGAGTTATTGACATGATGTCTGATACACCACTTACTAAGATGACTTAACACCAGTTTTTATCCCTGTTCACTAACTATCAACACAAATTATGCTGATTTGAATTGAATTGAATTGAAATGAACTGAACACAATTGTTACCGGAAGCGCTTGGCTGCTTCTCTTGAG